CACTCTTTCAGGGGAGTGTGTTGCTGTGGGGAAGCCCTCCCCCCTGGACATGAGTAGAAGCACAGCTCAGGCTGTGTGAGGGACACACAACTCCATTTCAAGCCAGGGATTCTAACCTGAACTCTGATGAAGCCAGCAGGCTGGAAGGGGCAGTGGCTTCAGCCCTGGGAAGCTCTTGTTTGGGACCTCTAGCTGTATGAAAGCAATGCTGACCCTTGAGAGCCTGTTGACATGATTTCAGGGATGTCCATCATGGAGCTGGTTGGGAACATGGCGGGGACAATTGGAGGCCATGTCCGTCTGCCTACATGTGACCTGGTGGTAAAGCAACAGGCTCTTCTACAGGTCTCCTTCCTGACTTCTCTCACCCAGGAATGGGAAACAGTCCCCAGGCAAACCAGGAAGCCCATCAAGGCGCCAGTGCCCTCCATGCCCACTGCAGGGAGGAAGAGGAGTATTGCTTAGGGAACTAACACACGCACAGTTAAAATACACCACCACCACCCAGGTGATGTGACAACCCTTGTGGGTGCTAGGAGAAGCACAGAACAGTAAGACTACAGATAAAGGATGAAATCTTGAGACCAAGAGCACAAAAGGGCTTTTCTTACTTCAGTGGGGCAAAGCTGCTGCCTTCCTCACTCCTGAGGGCTTTCTGTTTTCAAAGTATATTAATTGCACCCAATGATTTTCTTCCTGCCCTTCCTTCCTGCCTGTTCCTAATCCCAGCCGTGACTTCAGTGCCTCGCTTGGGCAGAAGCCAACATGCTGTCCCTCTGCATGGCGAAAAACCTAATTTTCATTACTGTAGTAGCAAATAACTGGAATATTTCTGAATAAACAGTTTAGTGTAACTAGCCCTCCAGAGCAATATTTCAGAGGGAAGGATCAATGAAAATGTAAATTAAATGTAACTGATTCAATTCAGACTGCCCACAACAAGCATCCTATTTTAACAAGAGATGCTTTGTTTATTTTCAGTCTTTTTCTAATTCAACAGAATCCTAATGCTGTTTTATTTTTGTATCTGTGCCTCAGGCTCCAAGTTCTGCTCTCAAATAAGTATGAGAAAAAAACTACGTGATGATTTGGTCTATCTTTATACTTCAGGGTGGACCCTTTTCTTTTCCATTAAATTCCCTAGCAATGGAGAAGCTATTACCAAGGCACACGTTTTACTGATGCTTTCTCCAGGTGGACTGCAAGCCCTAAACTCATTAATGGACATTTGCTGCCTTTGGACAAATTAATTACTTGTTTCAAAGGAATTCCTTGTAATCACAGAATTTACTGAGCTCTTCAGGAATCTGCCAGTAGTGCTTTTCTGCTTTATTTTCTTTTTTTGCCTGCTGATTACACCTGTGCACATGTTTATTCCCAAACCACATGAAACCCGCAGACATTCTTAGAGGCTGACTGTTTTCTCCTGCTCAGAAATCCCCATATATTTTTGGCCGTGCACTCTGCATTCATGTGACTCTCACACTCTGTAGCTCAATGAGATCTTCTGAAAGAGCTGCCAGCTCACCAAATTTTCCATGAATTAGGTCCTGACACATCAATGAGAGGAAAGACAATGTCTGAAACAAGGCCAGCTCTGGCTTTCTGCCTAGTATGTGTCACAGTAATTCCACCAGCTGCCCTTCTACACAGCACTTCATACTTTTCAGACCACCAAAAAGCCCCTTGAATACTTTCAGTGATAGCTGGGGTTCAAGCTGCCAGTGTGTTTTCCCAGCCTCTGGCACCCAGTGGCTCTGGACTGGACCTACAAAGTTTTGTGTGTGTGTTTGTTTTGTTTTGTTGTTATTTTTATGAATGGCTTTTGCAGGAGGCTCTGACTCCAGCACAAGCATATCCAGCCATTCATAAAAAAGCAGAGGGAAAATATTGTACTTTGCCCAGTTGGAAACTGCCTCTGATACTGACCAAGGCTTTAAAGAATCTTAGTCATTCAAGACCTTTGCTATTGTAGTGCTTCACATTGAGAGCTCCCTGGCAGCGCTCGCTTACTGCTGGCTTGTTTTCCACTGGATCTGCAGTTTAGCATGTGTTATGTTTTCTCCCTTAGATGGGAGCAGCAAAGCGATGGAAGCTCAAAAGCAGAGCTCAGCCCCTCAGCTGGTATCCACGGCACACACCACCAACACACCAGGAGCTGTGCCCAGTCGTGTCATACTGAGGGCTCCAGCTTGTGGCAGCTGAATCACTGCAAGTGCTGGTTTTCAGGGGCATTGCTTTTCCTGCTTCAGCTCTCCCAGCTGCATGGAAGAGCTATCTGGACAAATGCTGGCTGGATAAATCCAGTAAGGTCCAGTCCTGAGAGGATTGCAGTGTCTGCTCACTTAGGTCACCCCAAGACCAGAAGAACTGAGGTGTACAAGAGGAATGAGAAATTTCCAAAGCACTCCCTTCATTTGTTTAACTGTTCTGAATGTGATGCCTTTGGAAACTTTCTGATGCACTACAGAAACAAATGCCTCAACTTGCAAAGCTTTGTGTTCACTGAGTTAAGAGATCTTTTCAGGGCTTCAAAGGATCCCTCCAGCAGCCTGCAGAGTAAGACCTTCTGCTCTGCGAGCAGCTCTCTCATGTTAAGGAAACTTCATGCAGTACTGGACTTCACGTTTTATTTTTATCCTTAGTTCAAAAAACAGGTAATGTATATTGAATGTGTAACAGCTAAAATTCCACACACTTTGAAGCAAAATTCAGGGGTTTTTTTACATCTTAATGCAAATACAAGTCAACCTTAAGTAGCGTTCTTAAATCTGTGTGAGAGTAAGAAAAAGTGACAGTGCTGGAAAAATCCTATGACCATGTCATTTAAATGTCTGTCACATAAGCACAAATACAAAATACAGCAGAATTTCTTTTGCCATGTTTAAACTATTAAGTACGTGAGTTAAGGCAAAAGATAATAATTTAAAACCTCAGGGTAAGATCCCTAACTTTGAGCAGAAAAACAAAACCAAGAATAAACACATCTAGAGAGGAAAGTACACCAAGTTTTTGGTGGTTTTATTTTTGCTGTAGGTTTCAGATGCTCAAGGCTCAGCTTTTCATCTTCTACAAGACCCTTCTTCCACTCCTGCTCTGGCATCACATTGCTAATTTTATTTTCAAATTCTGTTACTTTACTCTTTGTCAATAACTTAGATGCATCCTTAGAGCCTACTCAGTCACTGGTCAAACAATTTATTTGCCTTCTCTATGAGAACAAAAGAGCAGCCTCATGTGATGAGTCTATATACACCTTGTACCAGTAGTCAAAAGATGTATCAAATTCAATTTGTCACACTTCTCATTTGCTGGAGGACTTCTTATCCTGTGACTTTTCATGGTGTTATAAAAATAAGGAAGGATAAGGATAAGTCTATGTCAACTAGTACAAGCAGTGCTGGAACATATTTTTAATGATCAGAGACAAAAGCAGTGGTTTGAATGAAAATCATCCCCTGACTGCTGTGCCTGAAGCTCCAAGGGTAAGCTGCACACTCACAGTGCTCCTAGATTTTGTGTTCATCTTTCTCTTCAAACTGGGTATTATGAAGATGTGAGACTAAATGACCACGATGGAAACTAATACCCAGTTAGGATGACATTTATAGTGCTGACAGCTCAGTGTTGTGCAGAGATCATTAAAATAATTTCATAGGTCGCTTAAACACTTGTAGTTCTAAATTAAAAGATGAGTAAAACCATACTTAAGTCTTTTTGTCTACATATCCTTAAGAAATCAGGAAGTTCGTATTATACCAGTTGAAACCAATATAATCCAAAATAAATCATGTCTCCCAAGCAGTTCCATATGACAGCAGAGTGACTACTGTTCTGCCCTACAGCTTTAATTGGTTTGAGTCCAGCCTTTCCCTCCTTCTTCCAGCACAGAATGATAGAACGCTGGGACTGGGGCCCCATGCAGCCTGCGAGAGAGCCCTCACCTTCTGGGCAAAGGCCACTTTCAGCTTGATGACCACCAGCAGGAACCTATCCTAGCCTGCATGGGATGGCATGCCTGCCATTCACTCCTCTGGCTCAGGTGCACTCATGGTTTGCTATAGAAATGATCAACCTTTCGAGGGGATAGCAGAAATGCTTCTTGACCCCATCAATAGCAAAGGAGGATGCCCTCTCTGTCTCAAGCAGGGACTGGCTTG